AGGACCGGTGGGAGGTTTTGCCTCCCCTCCTCGGGGGATGAGAGCCTGGAAGGGGGCAACGTGGTTCATATCCAACTTAGAAGCCTCTCAGAGCTCAGGCTTGAGGACTGAGATTCACTCAATTAATTTTGCTTTGGCAAAAAGTCCATTTTTATTGCTATTTCATGCCTTCAGTATAGATTTTCCCTGCTCGTCTCAAAGGGATAATAAAACCCGACTCGTTCTTTTTATAAAAGTCTCACACTCCCTCTCTCACCAGGCTCTGTGTTCCCCAGCTAGAGATGTAAATTTAAAGGGGAAATGCTGTCATTTAAAACAAAACAAAACCAAAAAAAGCAACTCGGAAAGCCCATCTTTGAGCATCTTCCAGCTCTCAAAACTAGGCCGGTGCAACCCAAGCAAAAACCAAGCGGCCGCCTTCCCGCAGCAAAGCGGCAGCAGTGCCCACACTCCCGCCGGGGACCGGGGCTGACCTCCAGCCCGAGGAAGCCTCTCGCCACCTTCCACGGCTGGCGCTGGCCCTCAGCTTGCTGGGACGTGTAGTTTTTGCCGGCCGGGCGCCGGCGGCGACCGCTGCTCCGAACCGGCTCTTTGCGCTCGGCCGTGACGCCGGCTCCTCAGCGCCTGCGTCTGCCTCCTTCTTCTTCCTCCTCCTCCTCCGCACCGGGCCCGGGGGGGAAAGCCTCGCTGCCCCAAGCAGCTGTAGGAGCCCTCCTGGAGAAAATCCCAAACCCGCGTGGTGCCGAGTGGCGGGCAGGTGGATTTTGAGTGTGTTTTCAGGCAGGTGGTGGGACAAGACGATGCTGCTCCCTCCACCCCAGCTGGGATGCATCCTGCCCGGACTTCGGAAGGGCTGTCGCTGCAGAGCATCCCTCCGAGAGGTGAGGAAGGGAAAGGGAAACTGCCTTTCCTCTGCCTCGTGCCCTGCTGCAGGGGATAGGATGTGAGCGGAAGCAAAGTCGCATTGCTGGAAGCCTGTCATTAGTGAGTGGCAGTGATCGCCTGGGGACAGGGTGAGGTCTGGCAGCTTTTAAGAGCGGGTTAGACCCAGGTATCCGCCTGGCATAGCCGATCCGGCCCGCTAGGATGGACTCAGGACGGTTTCCTACTGCCCTGGCTGCGTGTCTGATTCGGTGACGTGCACAAATCCGCCGTCACCAGGACTCTCCCTACCTCGGCGGAAATCAGGAGCAAATCCAAAGCAGAGCGACGCCGTGCGAGGCAAGAGGAGACGTGTGCGTGCCTGCGCGGTGCCAGCCGGCGTGCCTCCGCCGCACCAGCCCGGCGCTACAGCCCTGTGCCCCAGCACCGCACCGGACCAGCTGAGAAGAGGCCGAGACGGTGACAGCCAAACCCTTCAGGTGCCAATGTTTCTCCTTCTCCCTTTGCCTGCGTCCCACCGTGAAGCTGCCTGCACACGCCGGCTGCCGGGAGCTCAAAGCCCTGCCTGCATCTGGCAGGGCAGGCAGTGCCCACGGCGAGAGGAAAGCCGCAGCTCGCTCTGTTCCTGCAGGTGTGCCTCCAACCGACAAAAGTTTTAGGGCAACTTGCGCTGGGATGGGCAGGAGAGGAAAGACAAGGGTGAGGAAACCCCCCCGGATGATATCACGTCCCCTGGCTAACTGATGGCCTGTCACCTCCGGGCTCGGCTCGCCGTGCCCCCAGCCAGGCTGCGGCGCGGCTCCATCAGTTAAACCAAAGTTGTGCTGTTTCCTCTGATGGCAGAACAAACCGTCCTTGCCCGCCGTGATCTGCCAAGACTGAGGGACGCTACGGAAAAGAATTCTGCAGCTCCCTCATTTCAGGTGGAAATCAGTCGGGGTCTCTAGATTTTCCTACAGAGCCCTCACAAGACTCGACCCTCCGGGCTGGAAAATCCTTAGTGAGCTCAGGCAGAGGCGAGAGATGATTAAGACTAGCTGAAATCTCACAGGACTGTGACGTCTGAGAGGCCCCGTGCAAGACAGAGAAACACCCTGGGCTGCTCCTTGCAACTCGTGACTCCCCTCACCTTAGCACGGGGCTGAAGGGAGGCCAGGGACCAAGCGAGGCCAGGAACCAGGTCACTGCCGCTGGTTTCCAGGCAGCAAAGGTTTGGAAGAGCAGAGGATCATTTAGCAGAGCGACAGTGAAGGTTCAGAGCAGAGCCTTCAAATTACACGCTACAGAGCACTTTTCCTGCCTAAAAGGTCTCTGAAATGACTGTGGCGGCTCTGAAACGAAGCACTCTGTATGCAATTGTTCCCTGGGGCTTGCAGAGGAGACAGAGCCGGGAGAGAAGAGGTGGGTCTGCGGTCCCCAACACGGGCAGCTCCTCATCAGATGAGGATGCAGGCTGCTTCTGGGCTCCACGGCACAGCCGTGCCGCTTCCCTAAATCTCCCCAGCAGTTTCTACCGGTTGTGGTATTTTTATTTGGGGTTTTGTTTGTTTGTTTTCTATTTCTCACTTCCTGCCTTGAATTTCGCACAGCTCCCGGCTGCAGAGCTGCTGCTCAGGGTGCAGGTGCCCCATACACAGACCCACGCTGAACCCCCCCACCCATGCCTTAAGGCACACCTCGATCCCACAGGGAATGGGCAGGGAAGAGCACTCAGGGGGAACGTGTCTTTTTCTCCATCTCACTTGGCTCCTTCCCATCCTTCCCCACTCCATCCCCCCAGCAGCTCAAGGTCCATTTTCATCAGCCAGTGACAGACACCAGATGTGGTCTCAATGCTGGGCCACCATGCACAGCCAACCTCCGCGGGTCCCTCCACCTTCTCCCACCGACTCATGGGTGGCAGCACCCACATCCCCAGAGCCACCACGGTGCTGCTCGCCCACCTGGGGTACACAAACTGCCACCCTGAGGAAGGTGGCTACGGGGTAGAAGTGCTCTGAAAACTCCTGGCACCCAACAGAAAACCATTTCTGGATGATCGAGGAGGCCTCGGTGATGCCCATAGCTGGGGCAGCTGGAGCTGAGCTGGGAGAGCCATCGGAAAGTGCTGGCACCAGCAGAGATGCCTTCCCTCCGCTCGCACGGGGCCCTAGCAGCACTCTCCCACGCAAAACCCCCACTGTTGTTTTTGTTCCTCCAAAACATCACTTTGGGAGGTCACCTGAGGGCAATCAGCCCGGGGAACCACTCGCAGCCATGGGGAGAACAGGCAGGAACCAGCGGCCACAAAGAGCTTTTGCTAAGCCAAATTTGCTCACATCTAAGGGACAGCATCGCGTTCCATCAAAGGTGGCGGGGAACCAACGCACACCCCCCAGCAGCTCCCCGCTCTGACGTCAGTGAAAACCTCCGGCAGGTCTGCGACGTCAGCCGCGACGCTCCGCCACCGGCCCGAGAGCCCTGGGGATGCCGAGCCCTGGGCGGGGGGACGAGGCCGGTCAGCATCTCCATTGGGAACCCCCCGTGGAGCGAGCAGCACCGTGCTCAGCTCCAGCTGCACGTTTCCAGGGGGTGGCGGGAACGGGACACGCACACGGCAATTTTAGCTGGAATTTAGCAGCTTAAAAGCAGCTGCAGGAGAAGGGCTCGGCCTTGAGGGGGCAGGGGGCGGGGGGGAGTCCCTACCCGCCTTCCTCCAGGGGGGCTTCAGATGCACCAAATCCCCCCTGCGCATCCCCACGCTGCCAACCGGGAGCACCGCGGCCACCCGCGGGCTGCGCCCACCCGTGGGGCCGGGGAGCCCCTGGCTGGCCCCCCCCCCCCCCTCCCCGTGACGTCACCGAGCTAGGGGCCAGGCTCGCGCTTGGGGGTTGAGGGGGGGTCAAGGAGGCGGGGGGGGGGGGAGATGGGGGCGGGGAGGGGGGGGGGGGACGACGACGACGGGACCGGAACGGGCTGAGGTTGCAAATGGGAGTGCGGTGCAATGGGAGCGCGAGTGGAATGCAGCGGGAAGGGGAAGGGGAAAGGGGAAAGGGAAAGGAAGAGGGGAAAGGGAAAGGGAAAGGGAAAGGGGAAAGGGAAAGGAAGAGGGGAAAGGGAAAGGGGAAAGGGAGCGGGAAAGGGAAGGGGAAGAGGAAGGAAAGGGAAGGGGAAAGAAAGGGAAGGGGAAGGAACGGGAAGATGCCGGCGGCGCGGCGGAGACGCGGTGCCACCGCCGCTCCAGCGGCAGCCGGAACGCAGCGGGCCCGGCGGGAGCTGCGGCTGCAGCCGCCGTTGCAACGCGAAGCAAACGGGGTGGTAACGCGGGGCGGCGGGCAGGGCCCCCCAACCCCTCCCCAAACCCCCTTAACTCCCTTCCCCCCCTCCCCAACCCCCTTCCGCAACAGCAGCAGGACACGGGGGGGGGGGGGGGGGGCGACACACGGGACTGCGGCCCCCGCCCCGCTCCGCCACCCCCGCGGCCAGAAAACGGCTGTCACACACACACACAACCGCGCCGCCCGCCTCCCGGGGCCCACCTCGGCGGGGCAAAACCGGACACACACACCCTTCCCGCCCCCCCCCCGGTCTCTCTCCGGGTCACCGGAACCTTCTTACCTGGCGGGCCGTGCCCCGCTGCGTCTCAGCGGCGGCGCTGGGCGGGGGCGGCCCCGGCGGCCATCCCCGGGCGGCCGCGCCGCTCTCCGCCGCGCCGTGCGAAGCCGCCTCGGCGGTGTCAGCGGGCGGGAGCCCCGCGCGGCGCCGGGAGGGACGGAGGGAGGGGAGGAAAGTCGGGGGCATGACCGAGCGCCGTCGGAAGTGCACGCGCGCCCGCCGCCCTGCCCGCGACGGCGGCGACACCTGGCGGCCGCGCCGGGCACCGGCGGGAACGGGGCGGGCGGCGGGAGCAGCGGGCATCGCCGGACGGAGCGGCGGCGGCGGCGGCGGGGGGGGCGGGGGGGGGGGGGGGGGGGGGGGGGGAAAGGGGGGACGACGACACCCCACGCCAAGCGCTGGGCTGCGGCACACCGGCCACCGGGACCCTGCGGCGGGTAACGGTTACTGAGCGCTGGGCGGCGGCGGCGGGTGGCGGGAGCTAGTGGGCAGCGGGGGCCGCGCACCGGATCCCGGGTCGGGGCTTAGATCCGGATTTGGAGCCGGGTCTGTGTCCGGGTTTGGATTCGGGAAGGTGTCTGGATTTGGATCCGCATTTGGATCAGGGCTGGGCCACAGGTGGGTCTGCACTTGGATCTGGGTCTGGATTTAGGTCGGGGTTTGGATCCATATGTGAGTGCACATGGATCTGGGTCTGGATTTTGATCAGGGTTTGGATCCACATGTGGGTCTGCACTTGGATCTGGGTCTGGATTTAGATCAGGGTTTGGATCCACATGTGGGTCTGCACTCGGATTTGGGTCTGGATTTAGATCAGGGTTTGGATCCACATGTGGGTCTGCACTCGGATTTGGGTCTGGATTTAGATCAGGGTTTGGATCCACATGTGGGTCTGCACTTGGATCTGGGTCTGGATTTTGATCAGGGTTTGGATCCACATGTGGGTCTGCACTTGGATCTGGGTCTGGATTTAGGTCAGGGTTTGGATCCACATCTGGATTTGCATTTGGATATGGATTTGGATTTAGATCGGGGTTTGGATCCACATGTGGGTCTGCACTTGGATCTGGGTCTGGATTTTGATCAGGGTTTGGACCCACATCTGGATTTGCATTTGGATATGGATTTGGATTTAGATCGGGGTTTGGATCCACATGTGGGTCTGCACTTGGATCTGGGTCTGGATTTAGGTCAGGGTTTGGATCCACATGTGGGTCTGCACTTGGATCTGGGTCTGGATTTAGGTCAGGGTTTGGATCCACATGTGGGTCTGCACTTGGATCTGGGTCTGGATTTTGATCAGGGTTTGGACCCACATCTGGATTTGCATTTGGATATGGATTTGGATTTAGATCGGGGTTTGGATCCACATGTGGGTCTGCACTTGGATCTGGGTCTGGATTTTGATCGGGGTTTGGATCCATATGTGAGTCTGCACATGGATCTGGGTCTGGATTTTGATCGGGGTTTGGGCCCACATCTGGATTTGCATTTGGATATGGATTTGGATTTAGATCGGGGTTTGGATCCACATGTGGGTCTGCACTTGGATCTGGGTCTGGATTTTGATCGGGCTTTGGATCCATATGTGAGTCTGCACATGGATCTGGGTCTGGATTTTGATCAGGGTTTGGGCCCACATCTGGATTTGCATTTGGATATGGATTTGGATTTAGATCGGGGTTTGGATCCACATGTGGGTCTGCACTTGGATCTGGGTCTGGATTTTGATCAGGGTTTGGATCCATATGTGAGTCTGCACATGGATCTGGGTCTGGATTTTGATCAGGGTTTGGGCCCACATCTGGATTTGCATTTGGATATGGATTTGGATTTAGATCGGGGTTTGGATCCACATGTGGGTCTGCACTTGGATCTGGGTCTGGATTTTGATCGGGGTTTGGATCCATATGTGAGTCTGCACATGGATCTGGGTCTGGATTTTGATCAGGGTTTGGATCCATATGTGAGTCTGCACATGGATCTGGGTCTGGATTTTGATCAGAGTTTGGGCCCACATCTGGATTTGCATTTGGATATGGATTTGGATTTAGATCGGGGTTTGGATCCACATGTGGGTCTGCACTTGGATCTGGGTCTGGATTTTGATCGGGGTTTGGATCCATATGTGAGTCTGCACATGGATCTGGGTCTGGATTTTGATCAGGGTTTGGACCCACATCTGCATTTGCATTTGGAGAGCCGGATTCAGATCCTCATCTGGATCTGCATCTGGAACACGCATCCTTTGCAAACGACGGAGGTGGCACGTCTGGCCCCCCTGCTCTCCCAGCACCTCACGGCAACCCCGGCGCTGCTGTACCCCAGGGCGCTGACCCCCCGCGGGCGCTGCCCGCCTAACCCTGCCCCTCCTTGGGGAGCCCCGGGGGGGAAGCGGGGGTCTGCAGCAGCCGCGGCCCCCGAGCCGAGGGGAGGGACAAAATGGCAGCGGTCCCGCTGGCCTTGGCTGTTGCTCAGTGGTGCGTCTGGGGCTGAACGTGCTCCAAGGAGGAGCTGAGGTCAGGGAGTGGGACGAGTGCAGGAAACATATTAAGCGAGGAAAATTGGCTGCAGCCAGCGCTGCTGCCTAATGCTTGCTTGGGATTTTCCTCTCCACCAGGTATCTGGTATAATCCCCGGCTGGTCAGCGGTTGCAGCTGGTTAACTGCTTGCACCTCAGAGGTGCCACCGGCTGCCAGCACCCACTTTGCACCAAGAGGGGTGGCACCCAGGACCCCTTCTTGCTTGTGTCCCCAGCCTTTGGCCATGGCAACGCGTGTAGGTATTTTAACAGGAAGATTCCAGGCTCTCGCAGCCCAGCTGCTAATTTATAATCCTGTTTTCCCATTAAAATAAAAGCCTCTCTTATTCCCGAACGTGAGAGCCAAAGCAAAACTATGAGGAAGTGCCCTGTTTGCAGAACACACTGTGAAACGCACAAAGGAAAAGAAGCGAAAACAGCGTTTTGCACGTTTTTTAGCCTCATTTTAGCTGGGACTTGGAACCGCAGAAGGGAAATCTTTT